GAGCTGAGTAGACAGTAGATCTTAAAGATAAGGCAAGGGAAGAGGGAGATGGAGAAAAAGCAAGGGAGTAAAGCAACTGAAAATGAACAAAGACTTATTAGATGCATGTATTAGTATCTCAAAATGAACATCATTATTTTACTATAAACATGCACAAAAAATGGTAGAATTTACAACAGTCCATTGGAAAAGTAGCAAATAAACAAGCATTAAGATACATATACCATAGACACTAGAATAGTATTCAGCCTTAGGAAGCAAAGAAATTCTGATATGTGGTACAATACAGATAACCTTGAGAATCAGTGGGGGTGTTGGCCAGAGGTCGGTATGAGATGGACCTGGGGTCACGTGCCGCAAACTTTCTGCAGTGGATGGCCACAAGTCCAAGTAAGAGCAAAACACATTGGCTTAGGGAATGAATGCTCTGGCCCTCTCCTCCCCGAACTCTGATTTATCACTTAGATTGGCCCTAAACAGATGACCCTCGCCGTCCCTTGCCCACTACTTGAATTCCTGCACAGACATCCTTCTTTTTTCCTTTGGTTTGCTTCCTGGTTCTATCAATAAAAAGCCACAGATGCTTCAGTTTTGGGCTGGTTTTTCCTGAGATTCTTTCAGGCTGAGGCGTCTCGGTTAAGGCAGGCCCTCTGGGCCCTCTGGAGTTACATGGACACTGACTCTGAGTAATCTCTCATGCTTTGCACAATGACCTCGTCATGAAATGTGACAAAGACTTTACGCTAAGTGAGATTAGCCAGTCACAGTAGACAAATACCATATGATTCCATACATGTGAGGTCACTAGAGTGATCAAAATGTATGGATCATTTAATTAAAATTAACTAATTCAGTGAATTAATTACAGTGTAATGTTTTAATGTGGAAGCAGAACAGTGGTTACCAGGGAGTGGGGGAAGGGGAGAATGAGGAGTTAGTATTTAATGAATGCAGAGTTTCTGTTTGAGATGATAGTATCTCTAGTAGCTCTAGAGATACACCGTAGTGATTGCAGAACAAGGTGAATGTCCTTGACACAGGAAAACTGTACTTTTAAAAGTAGTTAAAATGGTAAGTTTTACGTTATGTATATTTCATAACAACAACAACAAAAAAAAACAAAGAGAGACAAAAGGAGAGAATTCTGAAGGAAGAGAGGAGAGAGCAATGGGAACATGGAGAGAGCGGGGTTATGGGACACACTCCGAGGGATTTCCGGAGCTACCACAGCTGAAGCAGCAAGCAAGGGGTCTCCCCAGGGAGAGCTCGCCCTGCTGATTTTGGCTGTGGTTCTCAAAACTGCGAAATACTACACTTCTCATTTTAACTCACAGTTTGTGGTCTTCCTTGAGGTGGGCACAGGCTAACAGCGCTGTAAGGAGCCAGGCCATCAGACGGGAGTAGGTGGAGGAGGGGGAAGGGTACAGAGAAAGGGGAGAGGTGAGAAACTGTTAGCCAGAAGGAGCGGGAGGGAACGGGAACGGCCTAGGGAGCGGAGAATGACCGCCGCCGGCGGTGTTAGCCCACTGAAGTGTCAGTCAGGAATTAAAATCAGATTAGTTTGTCTGTGTGCTTTTCTCTGATCCTGTTTATTTGTATAGAGAATAGGAATTCGAATAGATCTTCTGCAAAAGGGAAGGGAACCAAGAGGCAGAGGAAGAGTAGAGGGGAATGGAAGGTGATAACAAAGAACTGGGATGTGTTATGTACTTGTCCCAACTACCCATGAGGAATATGATCATTATGTACTGCAAACATGAACTTATAAAACTGAAAATTAGAAAAAGAATAGTACATCATGTAATAGAAGTAGTCCAGAAGTATTGGCTAATCACTATTTGGATTGAATTCACTTGCATATATTTAAAAGAGAAAACATTCCTAATGTCATGGTGCTTAGCTTGCTGGGTCTTTGATTATAAGAGGATAGAAGATTAAGTGGTTTAATACTAATGTAAATTCTAGAATTGAGTAGTAACTCTTGGAGGTTGTGGCCAGCAGTCTTTGGTCACCATTCTAACCTACCTTTTACATGGTACCACCTCAAACACTACACTGTCCCAACTAATTTCTCTGATGTGCTGGGGACAAACATGTAAACTATTATGGTTGTCAACAGTCATATTTTAGTGTTCATGAAGTCAATTATCCCTTCAGTTTATCCATTTAATTAAATAGATGTCAGTAACTCATCTATTTATTTGCAGTTATTTATGACTAAATCTGTATTTATAATTGAAATTTATTGTAATAAATATCACTTTATAAAGCTGTCAATGGCCGGGTGTGGTGGCACACGCCTGTAATCACAGCACTTGGCAGGTGGAGGCAGGAGGATTATTGCGAGTTCCAGGACCAGCCTGGGCTACAAAGTGAGCTCAAGGCCAGCCTGAACTGTATAGCGAGACCCTGTCTCAAAAGGACCAAAAAAAAAAAAAAGTTGTCAATGTAACAAAAATATGCTATGCTACTGCTGAAATTAATGTGACATGATGAAAAATATAGCATATAAAGGTCATTTAATGAGACCATAGCCGTATACTTTCTTTAAGGGAGATATGATATTTCTCTGATGGAGTTTTTCTTCAGCTATTGTCCTCTTTTGTAGGAGAAAATTCCAAAATTGATACGAGTGACAAGCATTGTCGTGTTGAAAATGCAGTGGTGAAAAGCAGCAGCTAGCTTTGCAGTCAGTGTACATAGTAGCTCAGACTCTGTCCTCTGTGGTGTTTCAGAAGCCGGGTGTTTTAACCATCACAGCTCAGTGAATCATTAGGTGGACTTTTTTCTCTCTTCCTATGGATGTTCCTGTAACGTACTTGAAGATTAGGCCAATTTTTACAAAGCAAAATCATCAAAATCATTTCCTTAGATATATCATATATTTTTTTTTTCCTTTCACTTGTACTTTCCTGATGAAAAGAAAACTTCAGATAAATCCAAATTCCTGTGATGCTATTCTCTGTTAAATATATGCAAGTGAATTCAGTCCAAATAGTAATTAGCCAATATTTCTGGACTGCTTCCATTACGTGATATACTATTCTTTTTCTAATTTTCAGTTTTATAAGTTCATGTTTGCAGTACATAATGATCACATTCCTCATGGGTAACTGGGACAAGTACATAACACCTCAGTTCTTTGTTACCACCTTCAACTCCCCTCTACTCTTCTTCCACCTCTTGGTTCCCTTCCCTTTTGCAGAAGATCTATCTCCCTATTTCCTACTACCTACCTTTTATTCTATTAGTCATTTATATTTTGGGTATAAGAGAAACTATGCAATAATTAAGCTTGTGTGTCTGATTCATTTCAGTTAACATTATGGTCTAAAAGTACATCTATTTTCCTACAAATGACTCATTTATCTTTCTTTATGACAGAGTAATATTCCATCCTGCATAAACATCCCACTTTCTTTATTCAGTCATCTATTGATGGACATATAGCTTTGTAGCAAGATTTAGGTACTATAAATTTTGCTGCCATAAATATGGGTATGCATGTATCACTGTCATGTGACATCTTTAACTCTTTCAGGAAGATTCTTAGAAGGGGAATAACTAGGTCAAATGGAATTTCTAGTTTCAATTTTTTGAAAAATCTCCATACTGAATTCCATAATGGTTGTACTACTTTACATTCCCATTGACAATGTAGAAGGATTCCTTTATCCCTTCAGCCTGTCCAGCCCTTTATATATTTTCTTGATGATGCCAATTCTTTCTGGAGTGAGGTAGAATCTTAGTATTGTTTTAATTTACATTTGTCTAATGGCCAAAGATGTTGAACATTATTTTTTATGTATGAATTGGTCTTTTGAACTTTCTTCTGTGAAGTGTCTATTCTTTTCATATGTCCTATTCTAACTATTTTTCGAATCTTAACTCATTTTCATTGCACCAATATATTATAAATTGCTATTATTATTCCTTTTTTCCAGGGAATCTACTAAGATTTGAAGCTTGGCACTGTAACTCTTCAGAGTCCCTGTGTTTAATGTTCTATGCCACACTAAGGTTATTTCAAATGTCCTTTCCTAACTGCTGCAAACCTTCATCTAGAGTACAGTTTCCTTTAAATGTTATCCTTTGGTTATAAGAGTATATTAAGGATAAACATCCATTTTTTTATTTCAAGTATTTGTTAAACAGAATAGGTAGGTCTTCCAAAATAGCAAGATCTTCAAAATATTAAGTGAAGAAAAACCACATTGTATAAAGAATGCCTATGGTACTTTTTATAAAACACTTTTAATTTGAGGTCACTTGTCTAGAGATACATGTGTGCATGGGTGTAAATGCCTAGAACATTCTATAGGAATGTTCTGAATAATACAGTTGCTTCTGGAGAGTGAAGGGAACCAAGAGGAGGGCATAATCTAGCAGGGTTTCAATCTCATTTCTAAGGTTTTAATACTTGTGAAGAGCGCATATACCTGGAAACTTTCTAATTAGAAGTATTTTTTTCTTCTTTTTAAAAATTCTGATAAATGCTTCTCTATACATGTTTATTATAGTAATTCATTTTGGGAAAATCTGGCTTCATATTCTTTTATCCATACTCAGAAGATATTTTTAAAAGAAATTATTAAGTTCTGATAAATTCACCATGCCCCTGTAAGGCACAGAGATTCTTGTTGTTTAACAAGAATTTAAAGATTATTTCCTGAGTTATAGTATGAATCTCAGTTTGAAGAATGTTTGATTATTTTTACTGAGAGCTTTTATGTGGTTTTTGTTAATATATTTGTATGCCTATCATAATCTCCTTTAAACTCTTAATCACAGTGCGTTCCTAAAATGCTTGTCATTCAAATCTCTGCAGCTAGCTCCTTCTTCTTAAAAAAACAGTCAATGCACAAAACAAAAAAGTTAAATCCTATTTCTTGTTGGGATTATGTTTCTTTCAAGCTATTCTATAGGCTGAGGCATCTCTGTTCAGACTTGTTAAACTAGTTTCATTTCAACTACTTGTAATTTGTTTCCGTATTTCTTACAGTGGTAGATCTCTAATATAGCTAGAGATGTCATAAGGTTGATTGGAAGATCGAGTTCAGTGGGTGCAGACCTACACGATCATATCCCCCTTGTCGATGATGTATCGGTAAGTTAATTCTCATTTGTAAATGTCTGTTCGCTTACTGTCAGTGACTAGATGCCTAACATCAGAGACTGTTGGTGTGGTATCCTTAGTAGATTCAATCAGCTTATGACATTTCTGAAACTTTTATAGCAACTTGGATTAATTAATCTCTGTGTTTAAAATCAACTTGTTTTGTATAAAAATCTCTTATTGGCTTTGTTCATGTTGCCAAGATCAATAGCTAATAGTTGGGACTTTAGAAGTTACTGAAAACTTGCAATCTGGTATCCTGATTGACTCTGAGACAGGGAGCACATCAATTGTGTTAAAACCAGCATCCCTTTTGTCAAGTCCATGTTCTACATGTCCTTTCTTTACCTATTTTTCCTACTACTTCATGAGCAGTCCTTGTGCACTAATGCAGATCAGGAAGTCAGTGGCTGCAGAAATACCTGTCTCCATTGTAGAAGACCCCAGACTTCCTGCAGGGGCCATGAGGACACAGGAGATTAAAACTGGAGAAAAATGTCTAAAATTTTTCCTGTTAAATATTGAATAAAAAGAGAATGTGATTTATTTCAATTTTTTTCCTAAAATGAGCTTTCTCATATGCAAAGCAGAGGAAAAGCTAAGATTTTTGGCATAACTTCATGCACAATAAAATAGTGATTTTGAACAGTCATAATGATATTTCATCATTATTTACATTTATAGCATTTATACTAATTTTCCAAACATTTTAACCCATTTTCTTTCATTTAAGCATTGAACAGCCTTGTGAATTTGGTAGAGCAGGTGCAATTAACGCCCAAAGATGGAAGCTGAGTGTGCTTCCATCAGACGCCAGTGTCAGATGCCAGATTCACAGCTCTAATGCCTGAGTCTTCAGCTCTGTAAAGTCCTGTCTTGCTTGTTAACTGCTGCCTCTCTTGGTGGCAGAAACACCACCGAGGGAATTTCAGAGAGGAGACCTGGAAACAACATCGGTCACTAAGTTAGTGGGCATTTCTGGACTTCCATACTCATGCGGTGCCCCTTTGTGTCAGTCCTTTAGAGGGTGCACGGTAACTGTCAAATGGTCACAGAGACTCAGAAAGGACCTTCAGTGCTTCACATAGAATCCTTGTTGCGTGAATATTTACTGAGCAGGTGAATGAGAAAATGAGTGTAACATCTCGCACCAGTGTTTTGCTTACTTATCAAAACTCATTGTATTTGAAAATGTATACCCCACTTTTATGGAAATCATGATCTATAAAAAACAAGACCTCCAAGTACTCATATTCCATATTCCCAAATCTATTCTTTTTAAAATACTAAGGCTAATGATGATACGCAGCAAAAACACTCCTTTCTAATGAACACTGTATACTTACGGAGATGCTTGCAGCTTAGGGGAAATAATCACAGGAGTGAGGTTGGTGAGCAGTGCCCCGGGAAGCACTAACACAGGTTCATAAAGGAGGCAGTGGTTAACACTGAGCCACCATGGTTCCTTGAAGCCACGTTCATGGAACACTGCTCCGGAATTGGTGGCACCTGCAGGAGGTGGCAGGTCACACTCACAGGATGGAAGAAAAGTAAATGCCTGATAACTACGAGGGCGCCGTGTGTCTCACTGACACCCGTTCTCCAATGTATTCCACGGTAACTGCAGTGTTCCTATCTCTGGATTTACAAGAAACACGGCAGGGAAGCTGTGTTCAAACTCATCTTCATCTCGTTTGTGCTCTCACAGACCGTGCTCTCCGTGGGTTCTGTGACCTACTTCTCCGTGGTACATGTTTTTAGTGTAGTGACTTTGGGGTGACCACACCTAACGTGTTCTAAAACTCTACTTACTAATGACTAACTTAATGACTAATTTATCAGTTGAATATTACCTGTTTCTTAGTTTTCAATAAACTCATAGGTCTATTACGTGCATGTGTACATTAGTTAATTAGTTCTACTTTATAGATGAAGAAAGTAATTAGCCTTACATCACACACTAAGAAGATCTAGAATTTAAACCTGGCAGGGAGGCCAAAACTTGTCATTAACTAACCAGCGGTCCTTGCTTTTTCTTCATTTTGATAATTTTTAAGAGAAAAAGAACTGCCCTTTAATTCAAAATTTGAGTAAAATTTCCAGAACTAGCCATACTGTAGGTTTCTCTCTACAGTCAGTGGATTGAAATATATGTTCATATCATAGAGCTATATTTCATTTTGTTTTGCTTTGAAACAAAGTCTTGTTTTGTAGTCCAGGCCAACCTTGAACTCAGAATCTTGCCTCAGCCTTCAGAGTGCTGAGGTTACAGATGGGAACTACTGCACCTGCTTATCACTGAGATTTAAAAGCAAACTTGTAACATCCTCTTCGTGACTGTACCTCCCTTTTCCAATTGCCTGGCATATAGTAAATAATATTTAGTAGACACAAGGGACAGAATGGCAGAGACACCTAGAGAGTACATGGAAATTAAGATTATAGGAATTTATGACCAGAAAATTATCTAATTCCACAGGTGGTAGTGATTTATTTGCAATTATTGTAAGAACAGATATCATTTGTTATCTATTTACTAAATGTGAATCATTTTGTGTGTATTATCTTGTTTATTCTTTGCAGTCCTGATATGTCAGACTCATTTTACAGAGTGAGGAAGGACAGTTGTCCCAGAACACAATTGCTGAGTTTTACAAGGCAACTATCCACACCTTTCTATCCCCAATTTGTTAATAGATACATCTCTGAAATGTCTTGGCAATGCCAGGAAACTGACCGACTGAAGATACAAACAATATGAGCAACGTTGGAGCAATATTCTACCGAAGGTTCTCATGTTCTTTATCAGGCCGGCCTGGTAACAAACAGGACAGTAGCTTTGGAGTCCAGCGCTCAAAGCGTTCTGTGCCCTCAGCTCTGTGACTGTGCTGCTTTTCCTGTTGAACTTCTGGTTCCTAATTAGCAAAATGTCACCAATAAGGAAGTCCTACTCCACCATGCTGTGGTACCAGTTACGTGAGATCACCAAAGGGAAACTCCCAGCTCAGAGCTGTGTGCTGGAGTGCTTCACTCGCCCATTTCGTGGCTTCCCACATGTGGGTGGTAGTTATTATCACCACTTCACAGGGGAGAAAACTGAAGTTCATAGAACTTTCTCAAAATACAAGAAGTCACAGCTAGAATCTGAAGCCAGATTCCTCTGGCCCTAAAGAGCAGGTTCCTATGTGCACACCAGAATCCATATAGAAAATTATACCAGACAGCTGGAGAATGAAAGGACTTTAAAAAGTGACTCTCATAATTGTTAACCTAATGGAAATTTATTATTCATACTATTTTTCAATATTTACAGAAAATAAGCTTACAATATTTCATTGTTTTCAACCTAATAGCAGAGACTGAGACAAAATATTAAATGCTGTACCATGAATTGTGGATGGTAAGGAGCAAGTCTTATTCCTCTTTAGCCCTCTAAGTCCAGTATGATGCCCAAGCATAAAGTGTTGTGAAAAGCAAATATGGGTAGGGGGGTAGATGGATACATAAGTGAAAGAGCAAAGGAGGAGTAAAAATTTCACAATAACTCATAATTCCTTAGAAGTAATTTGTTAGGAGATATATATATATATGTATATGTATGTATATATATACACATATATATTTCATCTTACATACATATAGGCTGAATTTCCATTTTTTTTTCCATTATACCTTATAAACTTTAATAGGTGAGGCTACAACTTATGCTAAAATGTGTTAAAGCAAAACACACATACAATATAGAACTTTAGGTATAATTTTGTTGAAAAAAATAGAACCATTCTGTGATAAATTTTGTTCAGTTTCTGTTTATCAGTCCTTTACTCCCTTATATTGTTCTTATTAAATACCATCTTCCTTTGATTGTGTCACTCTGGGCCACAGCAAAACACATTATTGTTGATTAATGTTCCACTAGGAATACCCTGGATGCTTCCTGATATTTACCATCTGAGCTCCTTGCCGGGAGGCCATTCCAAGACATCATTAGAATCCAAAATTTTACTGATACCAAATTATGTACAGTATATATCCTCATACTGGAAGAGTAATTTTCTCTGCATGGGTAATTTCTACTAAGTGTGTAATAATAATAAAACAAAGAGTTGATAACAGCTTTTATTTTTTAACCACATGCCAATTATTTTATATATATTAATGTATTTAATCCTGGGAGATAGATATTAATTTTATTTCCATTTTACAAATGGGGGACGCAAGACACAGAAAGATCACACGGCAGAGCTAGTAAGTGGCAGGGCTGGAATTTGGACTTAATTACTTTGGCCTGAGAGATTTGGTTCTTACTCATGCTGTACTATTCCATACTAATTAGAAGTCAGTTCAACAATTTTCATTTATTTAAACTGCTTGTGACCGCATTTTATCACTAATCCAAAGTATAAGTTCAGTGACTATATTTTACTGTGATCTCAAAAGGAACAAGAGCTAAATGCTTGTCTATCGTAGGCTATCACTAAAGAAATCTCATTCACTGAATAAGAACAGAAAGCCCTAGAAGGTATAAGAACCCAGAGTTAATTTCACTGATGAGGATTGTGTAAAGGTTTGGTAGGTCTTGAGAACGTGGAATAAATTCAGCCCAGCAGCCAGAGGTGATGAGCAGGAGCAGCTGAGCGCAGGTCAGGAAGGGTTCTCCAGGGTGATGAAATACATCCGTGGGGAGTCAGGGGAAGGCAGCCCCATCCATCCACTTCATATTCTCCTCTGCCAGCATCAAATTTCTCAGTGTCCTGCTTTTTTTTCCTAGTCTGCCCAATTTTCATCCCTGGGACCAAGATAAGGTATTTCCCTAGAGAAATGAGGAACTGAGGAGCTGGGGATTTAGCTCAGTGGCACAGCGCCTGCCTGGCACACGCAAGGTCATGAGTTCGATTCCTGGTACTAGAAAAAAAACCAAAAAAAAAAAAAAAAAAGCAAGGAAGTAAAAGTCTTTTCATTCCTGGGTTCTCGATGTTCCTGCTTTGTGA